ATATATATATATATATATATATATATATATATATATATATATATATATATATATATATATATATATATATATATATATATTGACATTACATTAAAAGGTTAATACATATAATGGATTTAAATTATTTTGACAATTATTAAAAAAAGGAAAAAATATCATAATTTTATAACAATATCTTTATTCTAACTTTTTGAAACACCAATAATAAATATTAGAGTGATTTATTTTAAATTTAGTTATATTAAAATTTACGGACTATTAAAAAAGAAAAAACTAATAACTTAGGATTTTATTAAATATAAATTACATTAATTTTTTTTATAAATTTTAATGGGTCAAAAATGAAAATTTATAAATTTATTAATTAAATATTTAATTGTGGACGTAGAAATCGACACCAAATGACACAAATCCTCTCTCTCATACTCATTTTTCGGTTGGTAGCCTACTCGTGATGATAAAGACAACAAAATGTAAACCAGACCTAATGGCATTTCGCATGTGTGGAAAAACAATAATTATACATATTGTCTGGAAATCTGTTAATGCGTTGACTTTATGAAAAACAAAAGTTGACCGAGTGTAGCTTGTTTCCCTTAACTTTTCAAGTAAAATAAAATGGCTACGTGTGTTTTCTATATAAACAAAAACCACAATACTTAAGTGTTCTTATTTTAAATTGTTTGGAGTAAAAAATGATCAATTTTGGTGATAAGACAATATTGGTTAAAAATATACACTCAAAACATTAAATTAAATTTAAATTATTAAACATATGTTGTACTTTTTAAATTCTCATATACAACCTAAGAGTATATAGTTGATTCAACTTTTAAAAATTTAAATATATAATTATATTCCAAAAAGGATATATATATATATAATATTTAATCGCAAAAGAGGAAAGTAATGCCTGGATCGATCAATCAATCCACGTTAGTTTCTTTTTCCTTCCGACAAAATAAATGATTGCTTTTTAAATCCTGAATGAAAAGTTCAATACTTTATAAATTATGATCCCGCTAAACAAGGAAGAGATCAAGAGAGAGATGTCAAATTTTATGGGTCGTATTTAGAAATGTCAAATTTACTTGTGAAAACACATTCCTAACGGGAGAGTATTCCCGGTTTACACGATAACTGAAAGAAGGAAGAATATTTTTTCCCGTTAGATAAAGAGTCGAGGACGAAATCGTATTCTCCATTCTTGGTTCACTATACATATAACTAAATAAGATTGTTGTACATTAAAATTTGATTTTTTCAAAATTGAGTTGATATTGATTTATTAATTTTTTTTTTTTTTTTTTTTATAAAAATTATATGGAAAATGAAAATTTTAAAATAACTATTTTTAAATAAATGAGAAAAATTATATATGCAAATTCAATCTACCTAAATTACATGTTATGAATATAATCTCTATAAACTTCTCGAGTAATCTCTGTTACGATCCAAACAATAATAAATGAGAAATTTCACAGTAATTAGAAACAAAATAGATAATGAGGAAGGTGATAGGAAGACTTCTCTGTTCTTACTCCATTCAGCATGTTAGACGAACACGACTCTCCACAATGGTATGATATTGTCCACTTTGAGCGTAAGCTCTCATGGCTTTGCTTTGGGCTTCCCCAAAAGGCCTCATCCCAATGGAGTTAGTATTCCTCACTTATAAACCCATGATCATTCCCTAAATTAGCCGATGTGGGACTTTCATCATCCAACACCTCCCCTCGAACAAAGCACGCCTCCCCTTAATCGAGGCTCGACTCCTTTGGAGTCTTAGTCATTTTTTACTGCCTTCGTACCTTCGAGGAGGCTTGACTCCTTTTGGAGTCCTTTGTTCGACATTTAAGGATTTGCCAATCTATTGGCACGACTAAGTTTAGGGCATGGCTTTGATACCATGTTAGACGAACACGACTCTCCACAATGGTATGATATTGTCCACTCTGAACATAAGCTCTCATGGCTTTGCTTTGGGCTTCCCCAAAAGGCCTCATCCCAATGAAGAGTGTATTCTTAGATTATAAACCCATGACCATTCCCTAAATTAACCGATGTGGGACTTTCATTATCCAACACAGCATACAGTTTCTAAATAGATTTGTAGACGTGCATTTAAAAGAAAATTAGTAATAAATAATTGGTTTTTGATTTGTTTGATGACTGAAAAGTGAACAACAATAATGGTGATATATTAAATAAGAAATTGACAAAATTTTCTTGCTGAGTACTTTATCTACAAGTAATATATTCATACAATTTGTCAGGTATTGAAAAGAGATGATCCCTTTTTACACACCATATAGTTTTTGGTTAAAAATAAATAAATAAGCACAGCTGTCTGTGGGCTCCTTCCACTTCATATAATGTGGTTTCCTTCAGGCTTCTTATTAAAAAGTACCAATCAGAGCTACAATCATTATGCTCATAATGCATGTATAGTTTCAGGTTGCAATTTAATGGAGGTGTGTGCTAAACATTGCATAAAGTCTCTGATTATTACTGCCTCTTTGTCCAAAACACTGTGCTCAAATTTATGGCTGCGCACAGACATTATTATTTTTAAATATTCAAAAGCATGGTCGAACAAATGGACAGTGTACACCCATCAATTTTTTGGGAGCTCAAAGTCTTTGGATGAACGCTTCCAAAAATTGTCTGCTCTTATTAAATTTGCATTCTTTTCTTACCCTATACCTCTTCCTCACCACGTTCCTATCATGGGTTTTCTTCAAATTTTCAACAACCGACCGCATAACTATCCTTCGTAATAAAAATTAGGTTAAATTAAAAGTTACCTTTCAAGGTAAAAATTATTTTAAAATATTTTTAAAACCATGAGTATTTTTTTTTTCTCGGGTATAATTCAACCTAAACATATACCCAATTTTACAATTTTAAAATTAATTTTTTAAAATCATGTTTTTAATTAAATGTGATTTGGTGACCTAACCACAAAGAAAAATCAGAGGGACTTTCGAATCTTCTATAAGGTTAGGATAGACGCTTAAGGATATTTCTATCGATTTGACCTTTGTTCTTAAAAAGTTTAAATTTCAACGATTCAATACAATATTTCAAATCAAAGTTTGGTGTGTATTTATTCCCATGCATGCATTTGGAATCAAATCCGAGTTATTTTATTTTCTTATTTTACAAAATAATAAATAAATAAAAAACAAGTAATAAAAGTTTAAATCAGTTAAAAATAGTTTATTTCTACACGGTCCTTTCGTCAATAATTTTCCACAAATGATAATATAATCAATGACATTTCCACAAAATAGATAAAATGAGGTGTCGTTGTGTGATTGGTCGAGTTTGATGGAGAAGGAAAGTGGGAAAGGAAGAAACATGCTCTAATCACTGATCAGAGAGGTTTAATTATTAAAATACAAAAAAAAAAAAAAAAAAAAAACC